AAGGATCTAGAAAATAATCGAGGTTGATTTAGTAAAATCGTAACAATATTATTGGTTCCAAGCAGTAAAATGTCAATAGATACAGTCAATTGTTGTCCCCTAAAACATCTAAATCATGTTGAAGGAGATACATTGAACGGAATATTTCTACTTGTCAATTTGAAGGAAATATGGGTTAGTTGCTTGATATCTTTGATTTCCTTTCCTAACAGGATTACGTTTTTGAGTTACTTTGCAGGTTATAAACAAATTGTCGTTGGAAAGGCATTAGCTACAATGAAATTGATTACAAGGTAATTAATGGAGTTTTAATCTTTTCTCGATTCGTGCACAAATTTCTTAAAAAAAAGTTATTTATAATGATACCTTTAATTGTTTAACAAATTAAAGATTATTTTTTAGTTTTTAAATTATATCCATTTATTGATTTTAATTTAACTGGTCTGTTGCACACAATGAATTCCTGGAAAATCTGTAATATAATATTTTGATATTGGAAACAATTAAAAAAATGACAATTCATTATTTATTTTTAATGGCAGGAATAACTTATAATTTGGAAAATTAATTCCCACTTCAAAATCGGATACATCATCTGGAATATTAACACTATATCTATTTTAGTTCAATAATTCTTCATCATTGCTTTCATAACACTCATCAAACACCCTATGTGGCTTCTGCCTACAATTTTCACTCTTGTCGATTCTGGCTGTATTATTTTTAACCATCGGCTCATAGATACTGCATGAACTTTTAATCGGGTACCTGATCTTAGAAAAGTAGTTGGGTTTAAAAAATTGAGCTTAAATCAATATCTTTTGGAGTTGATTTATATTGATCGAATTCAAAGATTCACCATTGCAAAAATATGCGGAACATCTTAATGCTTATGATTTGATTTAAATTAAGCAGCAGATCGGATTGTTAGAAGATATTGTGGACGCAAAAAAATAGAATTTACAAATTGGCCTTCTTAGTTTATATATACTATATGTACGAGTAAGTATTTTTTGCAGTTTTATTAGGGATATGTAAAATCCCAACATTCCACTATATATCCTCATTTGTTAATTAATTAAGAGAATTAATAGGTTAAACATTTTTTCGTAACAAGAGATAAAAGTGCAAACGTCTTTGGTATAACCAGATACTTTTTCTTAATTATACCCATTAGAGTATAGTACTATTGAGACAAGAAATTAATGAAATCTATAAAGCGATTGCCCGATCCAAAGAATCTAGCACGACGGTAAATATATGAGCAGTACGAGACATAAGGCGCCATTACATACCCGTAGTTCAGCGAATCGAGAGACTCGAGGGTACGCTGACCAGGTCATGTTGTATTTCCAGTTGTTGTTAACACGGCTATAATCGCGTAAACGATCAGAAGCCGGTATCGTATTATTCACTTGAACAACTAAACCTCTAACAAACTTGTGTCCTTCCTCCTAACTTTTGACGAATTCATGTCTTTGTTTAGAAATTCCCAAGTGCTTCCAGAAGTTACATGGAAGCAAGCCCCTAGTTTGCCTCACCCTCGTTACCTCTCTAATCACGGCTAACAATGATATCAGTTGCCCGCTTAAATGGGACTGTGTATTTTCTTTAGTTATGATTTCGTACATTAATGCCTTCGTAAACCTGGTTTACTTCCTATTAGAAGATGTTAAGTTTGGTAGACAAAAGTAAGTATCGTTATGTAGTCAACAGAATCATCCACCTCCCATAAACAATCGTCCGGAGGGTATCTCAAAATGACAATATCAATATAATAATATTTCCAATATACTTATCACAAGTGAAGTAACCATTTTTCATGATGAAGTCCTACATTCCAAAGAAATACCCGAAGTCATGCCAAGAAGAAATTCAAGATTTTACTTGTGTTGATATTTTATTGACAAGTTCCAAATACTTACGGAATATATTCATGTATATTTGTATTAATTTATTAATCCTATTCTAATTATACAATATATAAACTTACAGCCAATATTTAAAATCTATGTTTATATGTAAAATTTACTTTTATTGTTAGGTTAATATTATATATCAATATTTTACTAGTGTAATTTTATTCCATAACAAAATTAATTGTGACTTTTATGATTAATATTTTTGAACTCAAAAAATATACATACATATATGATTACATAGATTAAGCAGAATTAATTACTTTCTCTAATTAATATACTTAAATTAAATATACAATAAACTATATTTCAATCTTCAAAATTCTGAATGCCTTCATCAATACCAATACAGCATTACTCATGCTATATAATACAAAGTGAAAGACTTAACAAAAACTATGAAAGTACAAAAATATATCTACAAGTCTATGAACTGTCTATTTTGAGAGTGATTCAAGGTATGTAATTTCAACCGTTTAATTGATTACATAGGTCGTGAAACTTCAAGAAGTTCATTTTTTTTTGATAATTTTTTGTGTAAAAGTACAAGTTTCAAGTCGATCGAGACGAAATTGTAGAAATTAGAGAGTTTTATAACCCGTCTTTGTCATGGCTTGACCGATGAAAGCACTTTCTTTTGGGCGGTCTAGTTCAAGACACTTCCAATGTCTTAACTCATACTATTTTTCATTCAAATTTTAATAAAATGTTGCCCACATATTGTACTTTAATATGTAAACAAAATAAATTGTATACTTTGTTTAGCATCTTTTGAAAAAATTAGAGGAAATAAGCTTTTTTTTGGTCTTCAAGGCATATGTAACCCGTTAATCGGTTTTCGGCGAGCGTCTCTGAATTCAGGTGGTGGTGATTTCGTACAACTAAAAGGATTTTTACACGCCTTCCAACGACTGACAGTTTTTTACGAGAAGCTGTTTATTTCTTGTATTAGACTTCCACCTCTGAAAGGCGACAGAATTAAGAAGAAAAACTTTTTTCGACATATTTGAGGTTGAGTTGTGTAAAACATTGCTGAGTAGTTTCTACTCAAGTTACCAACTACTGCAATGTTTCGAGGGGTTTCATTCAGAAAAGAGGTTAATATTACAGGTTAAAGCAACGAAAGTGCTCATTCATCAAAAATTTTCATGTCTGAGCTCCAGCATTTCAAAATTGTTCAACAATTGCCAACAAACAATTTTTATAGTCTAATCCAAGTGTTCAAAAGCATAAAATGCTCAACACACTTTTATAAAAAGCCCTAGATATAGATAACAGAAGAGCTTGTCATATGTGAATTATTTCGTTCGTGACTGTCGACTAGCCGACCGTCGAAAGCAATTCGTAATGCGGGCTTTTATTTCGCTGCTCAGAAATTCATCAAAAGTATTTTGAGCACAATGATAACATCGTAATCCTATTGCCTATACGCTCGTAAAAGTATATAGAAGTCTCTAGAATAAAATAAAATTGTTAACTATATAATTTTTTACACCATTGGCATGTAATAACTAAATTGTTGTTAAAAATGGAATTATACGATTTCACACTGAAATCGTCACACGTATGTATCTAACTAAAGGTATGTACAAGTGAAAACAGCTCTTACACAATTTAAATTTCGTATGAAATTAAATCAGCTCGAGCAAATACGTTTTAAAGCGACTAATTGTTTCAAAAGTGATATTTACATTTAACATCTAAACTATCATTTAAACAATTCCTAGACATGGCACTACATAACTTTTGTCTTTTTCAATTGGTTCGCATTGGCAACATTCCATAGTGTTGAGATGATTGAGATGATTGATGCTGCTGTACTAAAATCTGCTGTTGTTGTTGTGTTTGTTGCTGATGCTGTTGCTGAGGCTGAGGAGGAGGTTGCTGTTGAGACTGTTGTTGTGTACTCTGTTGTGGCAATGGAGGCCCACCTTGACCGGAGCCCGTTGTATATGTTACCACGCCCGTTGCGATTTGTGGCTGTGACACAACAACTGGAGCAGTTACTTTACGCTCAGATTGTGTACGAATTGGTGGTGGTGCTCCCACTTGAGAATGATTTGTAGGCATTGGTGGTGGTGGGGCATACATAAGCATCGGCTCACCACCGTTTGGATTTCGTGCTGGTGGTGTTACCGCTGAGCCATGGTAAGATCCATACGAACTATCATCCGATTGTGCCGATTGACCGCGATTGCGATGCATAGCCATGCCGTATGCAGACTCTGGGCGGCGATCATATTTAAGATTACCGTCAAGGGGATTAGGATTGTGGCGCGTGCCGTACACTGGTTGGAAGCCCTGCTGACCATCCTGGCTGGTGCCTTGTGAAGGTAGGTGGGGCTGTTGTAGCGTTGGTTGATGCTGATGCTGTTGTTGTTGTTGCTGTTGATGATGTTGTTGCTGCTGATTAAGGTGCTGCTGCTGTTGGTGATGATGTTGTTGTTGCTGGTGTGACTGCGTATGATGCTGCTGAGATTGCTGCTGCTGTTGTAGTTGTTGTTGCTGCTGTGATTGTCTCGTTGATCCTCTTATACCATAAATGCTTTCTGAGCGCTGCTGCAGTTGATTCTGCACATTCTGATTTTGTAAATGTGATGATTGTGCCTGTGTTTGCGTTTGCGTTTGCGTCATACGCATGCCATACAAGCTTTGCGCCGGTACTAAAGGTCCCGGACGCGGTACAATTTCCCGATTTATTGCGATATTACTCTTAGTGTAAACGGATTGTGAGCGATTAAGATTCGTACGAGTTAATGTGGGCGAACGGCAATAAAGGGAACGAGTTCCGCCATATAATGGCTCTGGTTGATCAAATTTATTTAATGGTGGAGCCGTATATAAATTCTGGCAGTAGTTTGCGCCACCCGGAATATTACCCGTGTTGGTTGCAATTGCTGGCTTGGTAGTCGTTTGTCCGCGTGGATATGTGCCTTGAGAATATTTAGTTGACACATGGGCCTTTTCAACGTCCAAATCATAATTCAATTCATCTTCAGAATGTATAGACGAAGAGTCATTATCCACACTTGGCTTATGTGCACGTGTGTTCCGCCGCGAACAAAATACATACTCAAACAGCAAGCCAGAGGCGAGTCCGCCAACAAGTGGACCGAACCAATATACCCAATGGTTATCCCATTTGTTAAGTACAAACGATGGCCCCAATGAACGAGCTGGATTCAAGTAAGGCATCTGAAAAATAAAGCAAATACTTTTATTAATTCCGATCGTTTGTATTTGTAGCTCAACAATTATATGCTTTTATTTTTGCTTATATATGTGTATGTACATATATAATTCCGGTTTATAAATGTTAATACGTTTTTCGGCCAAGTCCCAACTTTTGGTATGTGTTTTTTTATTTTTATTTTATTTTTAAGATGATGGCATTAGCTGACGGAAGCCGAAGAGATGTCATTTTGGATAGAATTTCAATCCATGCCACTATCATGGTAGCACGCACTGCCAACCACTCATTTACATTAACAACGCAAACGGCACTAGGACCTCTATTTATCCTCTTACATCATGCAACACTTAATTGGCGCTTAGATATCTTTAAAAAATGTCGCCCAGTAAGTGAATGCTGTAGTTCCACAGTTGCTAAAGAATCAACAACTAAGCTATAATACTTAATGATAGTTTGTCGTTAGTGGTGAACACAATTAATATGTACTGGCCGGACATTCGAGGAAGAGTTTCTATTGTTGAAATTGGATACCAAGCGATCCACTGTAAAAGTGACCAATAAATCCGTTAGGGTCTAACAGCTCTTGTTCTTGCTGTTATCTAAGCAGATAGAAACTACTTTTGAAAATGATACATACAAACAAGCATGCTGCTTTTTGAGTTTGTTTGCATGTGCTGTAAGCAAACAAGTTCTCTGATTGATCTTTGATTTTCTTCCTTCTTTTGTTCCTGCGTATCGACTAGATTCGCTTCAAAATTCCAAAACAGCAGATGTTTTTACGCTGTGCGCAACAGACATACCCATATATTTAGATGCATAAATATTTACGTATGCACTGAAGAAGTTATTTTTATTTTTTAAAAACAAGTTCTCTGAATGATACACTTATCGTTTAACTTTTATTTTTCATTTAAAAAATGCAAATTTGGTTTTTAACCCTGCTATTTAACATTCAGTGAAAATGTATGTATATATGCTAAGCACTCTTTCAATGCAATACATTATATAATATGTACTTACAGAAACAAAACTGCATGCACTATACGCGCAGCCCACCATTATAGCTGAATTGCCCATGAACCGCTTCATGGAGTCGGTTGAAACGAAGTAAGTGAGCACAACGACGAAAGTTAGACTAAATTCCACACCAAATCGTTCCCAAGCCGCCAAAGAAGCACTATGGGATATGGCCGCTTGGAGATTTCCTTGATAACCAGGTACAGTAACACTAAAAGAAAAGAGGGAATCAAATTAAAATAATTGTTTAATTAAAATTAGAATATTTTTATTTATTTTTTTTTTTTAACAAAAACCAAAGTCTACAAGTCGCTGATCATTCCTGCAAATGGGCGACGGTGCATACCATAGACGATGGAACGATTAGCTGTATGTATACTGCAATTCCATATTTCAGGGAATAATAGACGACGGCTTAGCCGCTTAGAAGAATCACACCCCTGAAATAATTCAATTTGCCTTTTAAAGTATTCGCTTTTAGAATCAGAGGAAGAACAGAAAAGATTACTAACACCCTATTATTGATTCGGTTATAATCGATCAAACGCCAATTGAGAAGAAGATAAACATCAATTAATAAGTTATATGTATGTACATAAAAATAGAATATTTTTGCCCATATATAATTGAATTAACCATGGCATGGTTCTAAAAGCCGAATCATAATCTTAATTATTTGTGTAATGGATGTAAAATACTACAAATACTACTACTACTATGGCCTCAGTAACCGAGTAAGTAGTAACGGGAACTGCTATGCGAATCCTGGCCAGATCAACAGGCAAATATTCTTTTCCCAATAGTTTGTCTCTCAATCGGGAATTTTAACCCATCCAAATGTATTTATGACATGGAATAAGAGCTGAATACCTCATCCGAAAATCACCTCATCGGTGTAAGCGATATGATTTCAAACAGAGAGAGAGACAAAGAGACGTCCTTTTAAAAATCGGCCTATTGGTTTTTAATTTCATAAAACCACCATGATAATAATAAGCCCAACGAATACCATCCACCCGCCCAATCGACACGAGAGATGATATCCTAAGATGCCGAGTCTTGATTGTTAAGCATTTGTTAATAATGAGTCAACACCTGAAATTTAGTAATTATGGAATTTTAAAATATAATTGTTGAGAGAAGCACGAATAGAGTTTTTGATGCTAAAAAGCGAGTCTGAGAGATCGAAGGTGCTGCAACGAAAATTAAAATTGTGACACAATCGGCGAAAATGTTCAGTCAATTCATAAACATCAAAAGAATGATGATTCAATTGGTTATACCATTTTAAACTTCTCTTTCCCGAATGAGAAACATAATGTGAACTGCAACATCCCTAACTTCTTATGTATATGTATGTACTCGTACACAAATGTGTGTATTGAGACATTTTTATTGCCAAAACCAACCATCAAAATGCTGTCCAATGGCTCCAGCGACCTACGACACAGCGTGACTATGTTGGCTGCATTTTTCTCACGGTCAATCAGATTCACGGCAGAGGCCTGAGAATTTTCTTCAGGTCTGTCCAGCGAATCAATCTTAAGTGAGCCCAAATAGCCAAAGTAACCTGCAAACACACAACCAAAACTGTGCAAGACACTTATGGTGCGGAATCGTTTTAAGATACAAAAGTTATTCTCTTGCACTGCTATAGAGGATTGATTCTTAACGTTTTATTCGGCTTTACTTTGTGAGGCAGCTGTGAACGGGTTAGTTTTTTATTTTTGCTCGTTTATATTATTTCTTATTGAGTGTACTTTGTTTTTTGGAAAGGTATCAAGTTTACTGTAATTATAGCTCAAACCTGTCATCATCACTTCCATCAGCATCGATGCCTTTTGAACTCAAATGAATAAGTATGTATATATACATATAGTTCGCATGATTGTTGGTTTCTCTGGGAATTTCTTGCGTTATAGATATTTTTTAAAAATTTTCTAGTATATGCACGTTAATAATTATTATTCAAAGAAACAGATATATCACAAGAGCTGAATATACGTACACATAAAAGTATATACAAGTATATGTTTGTTATAAATATAGTAAAATCGAAAAATTTACGCATAACAGTCATAATCTAAATATACACGTACACGTATGTACCTATGTAGCGTCTAAAACGCGTAATATCGATAAGCAAGCCTTGATTATTGACAGAATGAGCACTTCAAGAAGCAATATTCACAAAAACTCAAGAACACTAAGGAGTATCCAGGATTTAAAGGTGGTGCTAATACTTAAACGCATTCTATGATTCCCTGATAAGACTAGTGAAATCAATAAATACAGACATATGTATATGCGCGGGTAAACTAGGAGTGTCTGCTACGAGCCAGAGGATTTAAGCTATTGCGAAAGATCTCTTCAACAAATAAATAATTTTTCCATATTTTGCTAACAAGAAGTTATTTTAATCATTTTCTTGTACTATCTTTTGTCATGTTGAAAAATTTCACGCACAAAGATTTGCAAAATCTGGCGCGTCCTATTTTAAACCTGAAAGCCTAAAAGGAATCCAAAGATTTATCATTAAAAAAATTAATTCTTGTAGGAGCAGATCTCCATTGATTGGAATACGATATTTTTTGCCGTATTGTCGAAGAGGAGTGGTGGTCTGGGGTGTATTTCAGTGTATTCAAGCTTTTGCGTATGCAATTACAGTCGCGGCGCTATACTAAATTCCTACTCTTGCGTTCACGTCGCGCACCTTGGAAAGTTGAGCAACCCTTGTGCAAGATGCAGTAACCAACTCGTGTGGAGCCTTGGGTAACGGCTAAAAGAGGATAAGTTTCAGTGGAGCCAATCCGACTTATTCGATTTAAGCTCACCAGAGGTACGATTGTGAGCGGGCGTCGGTGCTTGAAGCAAGCGGCTCGCAATATAAATGTATAAAAACCCTTAAACTTACTCGCCTAGCGAGGTTGTACGCTGGGTTTGGGACCCGTCACGTTAGGACCAGCTCCAATGAACAACTACGCCGTGAAATCTGCTTTCTCCAGATTGGATAGGGAAGGGAAATATCTTCTGTCATGAAACAAACAGACAGACATCGTTTTCGCGAATCGGCTCCCAAGTCCCTGTTGACAGTCATAACTTTGAAGTCATAGATAACTTCGTCTATCTTGGAACCAGTATTAACACCAATAACAATGTCAGCCTGTAAACCCAACGCAGAATCACTCTTGCAAACAGGTGCTACTTTGGACTGAGTACGAAGTTGCTTACCGTCCTGCGGAAGCATGGACGATGACAACATCTGATGAGTCGGCACAAAGAGTTTTCGAGAGAAAGGTTTTATGTAAATTTATGGTCCTCTATGATTTGGGAACGGCGAATCCGATGGAATGATGAGCTGTATGAGATACAGCGACATTGACATAGTTCAGCGAATCAAGAAACTGCACCTGCGTTGGCTAGGCCATGGTGGAAGATCTCCACTCCGTTGCGTAAGCGGTCTCTAGCCGTTTGGATTACGTCATCGATCACAAACTACTTTTCATCATCTGTTTTAATTCTTTTTATAATGTTAATTGGTTCACATAAAAACATGTGCAAGTAAACGAATGAATTCGAAATGTGGAGACGCTATCTCCCGAGTTGTCGTATGGAGGTTACTTACGGTTAATTGGCCATGTAACCATTTTACATATGTCCCAGCCGTACCACCCGATTAGAAAAAGGATGTGAATGCACTAGTCATAGACATTGGTTACAGTGGCGAAATGTCGCCAGCTGCCAGAGTGCTAACATACTTTTAAGCAAGTTTTTAATTTTGATCAAATTTATTTACAAAATACTACTGGCAAAATACAACTGGTCGCTAACGGCGGGTGGAAAAAACCTTGTACAACATCCTCATACAGAATGACAGAAGTAATGAACAGCATGTACAGTTCGAAGAAAGAGGACTTTTTCAGTTACCTACGTTGAATACCGAGGCTTGCATTATTATTGGTGTTAATGCCGGTTTGAATACGAGGTTAATCGAAATTTCTTCGATTTCAAAAACTTTGAAAATTCTTCAGAAGTTCTGTAGACTATTTTATTTGCAATATTACGAGTATATAAAAAGAAAGTACAAATACCCGATTGTAAGGATATGCAACGCAAAATATAGGCATATGTGCATATGTATGTACAAGAATATACAAATGTATGGGAACAAACCCAACCGCAAAATTAATAGCAATTGCTCATTTTATAAAAAAGCCGCAAAACAATTAATACTCTGAAAACATTGACCCAAAAATTCAGAAATTCACTGCGTGTGCTATCAATGTTGCATTTCAACCCTTTTCTTAGTTTTAGGTTTAATATAATTAAGAGAGTTTCAATGGTTTCTACCACAAAGTTTTTGCATTTTTTATTATATTTGTTCTTTCTCTGTCTTTTTTTTATTGTTGCGATTACATTGCTTGTGAATTACGTGCCAAAAAGGATGCTGGTGTTCAACAAACACAAATTAAATGGGAAGAATATACATATGTAATGTTTGTAAACACATACTACATACGTGCATCTAAATATGAATTATAGTGCGCTGCTTTTCCTTATTTGTACTTTGCTTTGCATTTTCGACTTGTCAGGAAACTTTTCCCAAGCCATGTATACACCCGTTGAATTGAGTGCAAAAAAAAACTTTTCAAAAATATGTACATATGCACGCATTTTGGAAATGCACAAACTTATGAAAAAAATCCTTGGCTTGAACTGTCAAGTGAAGGGGTAGATGCGTACATAAGCCTTTCGTGCATATTGTCAAGTGTTCCGTATGCTGCCAGGATACACGCATACTTCATATTCGATGCACTAAGGCAGTGTTTATTATCATAAGTCGGTTGGTTGTTAAGAGGTTAGAGGGGAGTTTGCATCCAAAAGGGAAAGCGATCAGTAAAAGTTGTTTTAGTCCATATCGCACACTACGACCAAAAATGTCACAACTCAAAATTTTTCAAAATCGTTTTTCTCAATAATCGGTTTATATCTAGGTAGTTAAGTTGGATTTTCTTTTTGAAGCACTATCGTTGATGGCATTCGGCCCCAACCGAAAAGATATTTTGGTATTAAAAAGTAGCTTTAGAATATTTATAATCTATGAGGCGAAAACACATGAAACCCCAGTTTTCGCTGAAAATTTCTTAAAAACTCGGGGCTTACTCATACCAATTGGTCTTTAAAGGGTCTGTTCGATATTAAGAGTAATTT